ACCCTCATATTGTGTGTAGGCTTTGTTACTGTCTCCCTGCTCCACTATGGGGACAGCACTGTTAATTAGAAGCCAATAGTAAATGCTCGAGTAGGGAATTACCGTCAGGCTATGCAATTTAATTTTTAATTTCAGAAAAATTGGAAAGAAACTAGGCATCCGATTGAATCTGGATCCGGATCGCCCGGATCCAAAATCTCAAGCTCTACCCACTGCACTACCCCACCGCTTCTTGTAATTTTGTAAAAATATCATAGATTTTCTAATGGTGTTTAGGTACTTGTTTAGGTACTTGTTAGGTGCGTTAAAAATGTACGTGTGTATTTCTGTTTTAATTAATAAATTTTTAATTTTTAACTTCTGTTGTTTTTTGTCTCTGTTGCTAAGGTTTAGCATTACATTACCTGATACAGGATTTTTTTAAAGACCTTTTAAACTGATGGAGCTTTTTTGTACTGACCACTTGCAGACCAGCACCATTAGACATCAATATCCAAAACTTAAAAACCGAAAAGAGTGCAGTTACAGGTGATTGAATAGAAACAAAATCGCAAAAGTAAACCTTTCTGTTGGCTGATTTTTACTGACGTCGATCTTTTATTCTTTACCTTTATCGCCTGATTGCGCCTGATTTTATTGCTGTCGCACCAAGAACTTTTGAGATGTTCAAAACCTCACCTAGTTTAAAACGCTTCTATAACACTCGACATTATTTGTCTTTCTTTCTCTCTGTATTTTCGCAATAAGTCCATCACGCAGTCTGCTACACTAACTAGGTACTCGTATTTCCATAGTAACATGGTCTTATTTGCATTACCGCTACCATCTACGTATTACGTCGAAACCCTGGATACGCACATAAGCTTTGTTGCCAAAATGTTTATTTTATCATTACTTTGTCTTCAGAAACTCCGCCATAAGAGAGCTTTTTTGAAAATGTTCCGGAATGGTTTGAATGTTAAAATTTTCGGAAAATGTTTCTTTTTTATATATCTATCTATAAGTGTGCAAAATCTTATGACCGGGAGCATGGGACCTAGAAAAGCATACCCTCCTTTATATTAAAAAAAGTCTTATTACAAATCCAAGAACACGAAAATGTATTATTATAAGTTACACCTAGATCTCTGAATACGTGAACCCTTTCTAAAGATTAATCCATCATTTGATAGTCAAATAAGACTGGTACTTTCTGTCTGGTCATAGTCATGAGACAACCTTTTTGTATGTTAAAATTTAATTTAAATTTGAAAGTCCATTGATGAATACTATCTAAGTCTTTTTGAAGACCCACACAGTCACGAACTGTTTGTATTTGTTTATATATTTTGAGGTCATCTGCAAATAATAAGCATTTAGAAAATTTAATATATTTCGTAATGTCATTAACAAATAATATAAAAAACAAAGGGCCCAAGTTTGAGCACTGGGGTGCGCCTGCGGCAGTGTTTCCATCATGTTTAACTTGAAAATATCTGTTTACTAAATAAATTTAAAACAAATTCATGGTACTTTTAGTGCAGCCAAATTCATAATTTTTTTCCAATAAAACATCATAATTCACACGATCAAAGGCTTTTCTAAAGTCCGTGTAAATTATATCGAGTTGAAGTTTAGTTTCTAAAGTTTCATTTGCAGAATGACTAAATGACAATAAATTAGTATTAATTGACCGCTTAGCCATAAATCCATGTTGTTGTTGGTTTACTGAACTTTCAACAAACGAATATAATTTTGTATATATTATTTATTCAAAAACGCAAATGCGCAACATTATTGAAATACGTCTATAATTTCGAATATCACTTTTTTGCCTGATTTATGGAAAAATAGCAGTACTTAAAATTAAATTAAATATATATAGTAAAGGTCTTTTTAGCCAGTCATGGCAACCTTTCACAACATATGGTAGTATTCCGTCAACGCCATTTTTTTATAACTGCCTCAAAGTCTGAATTATTTATAGAATTCTATAAATTCCAAATATTTCCGAAACAGTTAGGTATAGGACAAAGTACCTACATAAAATATGCCTAGAATTTTCTGAAGAAACTAAAAATTGAAAAATATACAGGATGTTGCTTTTAAAATAAGAAAGTTGGTATTGGCCACTGTTGCATGACACACCCTGTATAAAAAGTTTTTGTTAAAAAAACTAAAAACACCAATCGACGTGTCCGAATGTTTTTCCGAACGCCCCCATTTGGCTGTTCCACACTGTATATTATATTCATTACTAGTGAAAATACTGAAAAATTTAAATTTTACACTTTTCCTTATTTTTTTCGAGTACGGTCCATTTTAGAGATACTATGTATGGAATAAAAATTATAGAGAATGATATGGTAAACAACTTTTATTTGAACAAATTTTAAATATGAATTTTACACATTTTTTCAAATTTCTCGAATACGGACCATTTTAGGAAAATTATGTATGTGACAAAAATGATAGAGAATAACATTATAAGCAAAATTTTTTTTTAAAAATTGTCTTCTCCGAGCGCAAATAACAGATATATTCCATAAAGTAGACAAACGACCTTCTATAAAGTATCCTCCAGATGTTCCGACTATTCCCGAAATTTTATCTGTTCATCGCCAAATTTGGTGTGTTTCTCTTTATCCGTTTTTAAGTTGCCTTCTAAATTCAAAATTTACACTTTTCTAATCTGATTTTAATGACTTAAAATTTAGATGCAATTAAAATAGTCTCGTGTGTTACCCTTTACTAATTCTATGTCGGTGAGCAAGATCAGTAATTCAGCAACATACGCCTGATTTATTATAAATTTTTAAAATATAATTTGTCCTTTACTTATTGAACTTTTTCACGTTCTAGAAGTCTTAGTAATAATCTGTTTTAATATATTTATGTGCTTTAATAACACCTTATATATTGAGATCAAAGTTTACACCAAAGTTATCACTTTTTTTATATAATTTTCTACGCCACTGCTCCGACATCTGCTCTTTTATCCATAAAGTGCTTATACATATGAACAAAATTTAATGCCAATTAACAGTCCATTTCTAAAGTTCCTCATATGGTTCCAGTCCAAGAAGACGCTTAAGTAAATGATCCAATTTTCTGAATAAGAAAACTGAAAGTACATTTTGTAATAAAACTAAAAGCCACCCCTGCATTCGATACGATGAATCGAGCTAATTTGATTCCGGAGTAAGAGGAAAAATAAAAGAACGTCCATGTTTTTCGAAGATAAGACGAACAATCGAGGAATGTTCGAAAGAGGTATTTTATTAATTAAATGTTCGAGATGCAGAAAATTATCGAAATTGTTAAGATTGGTATTAGCGCTGTGGCATAGCAATAAAATGCCCAATCCAAAATCATTAATTATACGCTTCCATTTCAAAAGAGCTAATCTAGTTAATAAAATGTATACAAGATGATTCAGAAGAAATGAGAAATATTTTACCTGCAGACTCTTTTACGAAAAATATTAATGTGTTACTTAATATCTAGTGGTGAAAAATAAATACTTACTAAGATGTTAAAGGTGTTAAATAAAAATAATTTAGGAATGTTGTTGTTGTTGTTGTTGTTGTTGTTGTTGTTGTTGTTGTTGTTGTTGTTGTTGTTGTTGTTGTTGTTGTTGTTGTTGTTGTTGTTGAATAAAATAATATTATTTTTGATCTAACAACAATTTCTAAGTCAAAAATTTACTTCATCTGGCATACCTAGTGGATAAAAGAACGTGTTGTGAGTTTTCTTGTAACATAGGTATGTTAAATTGAAACATTTTATTTTAAACTAATTTAGTATTATTATTAATTTATTGCTGTACTCTGCCCTATACGTATACTACTTATCAATCAAGGGGTGAGATTACAGAAAGTCTGCAACTTTGCACATCTGCAACTTTGTATATATGGCGGACTTACAAATGCAAGTATTCCAAAAAATATCTGCAAATTCGCAATATTTATTGTGGTTTATTACCCCCAACAACATTAAACATAAATTTGGAATACGAAAACTTGATACTTGCATGTGTAAGTCATTCATATTTGCAGATTTTCAAAGTTGTTGCCATATTTGCAGATCTGAAAAGTTGCAGACGTTCTGTAATCTCACCCCAAGTCGATATTAAAATTATTGGTATAAAATCGGGTAAAGATTGTAAATTTTATAGCAAACTGTGCAGAAAAGTATGAATAATGTGTAAAAAATAAATATAAACAACAATGAATTCTTATAGTAAAGTTATTTAATAATTTGTGTGATGTGTATAGTGAATATATTGAAAAAAAATGTAAAAATGTAAACCGATAAAAATAAGCTAGTTAACAGTGGTGTCGTGAATTTGAAAATCACAAATAATAAAATGGTTTAACTATGGAAGAATCAACTACAGTAGGTATTTCAAGTAGATATTTCAAGCAATTAGAAACTAAATGCTTGAACTTTGATAGAATAACACTACTGGCCAGTGTTTGTACGATATGTTTTTAGAAAGCACTTGCGACTACGCTATTGACTGGCAAAAATAGGGGACTCATTGCATAATTAAAATTGATAATGCCAAACATATCCTGGACACACTGTTTTCTTCATCGACAGGCTCTAGCTGCTAAGGTAGTACCTTCTGATTTAAATGACGTGCTCAAGGGGGTAATAAAAATTGTAAATTCTATCAAAGGTAAAGCTTTGCAGACCCGGATATGGGCTCGCTTCATAAAAATCTCCTTTATCACACAGAGGTCAGGTGGCTATCCAAACGAAAGTTATTGACAAGAGTTCTGGAACTGAGAGCTGAATTGTTAACGTTCTTACAAGATGCAAAATCTGAATAGGCTTATCGTTTTTCTGACCCTATTTGGCTCTTGAAATTAGCATTTTTGGCAGATCTTTTTAGCCACCTTAACAGTTTGAACAAGAACCTTCAATGAAGAAAAGAAAATATTTTAACAGCTAAAGATAAAGTAAAAGCATTTCACACAAAACTTCATTTATGGTCAACCTCTCTGCAAAACAAAATGTTTGAGTTTTTTCCATGTGTTCAAAAGATTGTTGAAGATAATGTAACAGACCAAAGTTTTGCAGTATCTGCTCACATTCCTTACATGATACAGAGCTTGCATAATTTACAAGAGAAACTTTTGACATTCTTTACAGACTTGCACTCTGAAGCTGATAATGGACGTAGATGGATTTTAAACCCTTTTTTGGACAAATCAATAGATCTGGCTGTCACCACAAAAATTAAAGAATGTCTTCTAGATTTAGCTGCTGATGTCATGCTTAAAGTGAAATTTTATTCGCAAAGTGTCGACGTATTTTTGATGAAAAGATAACACGAATATCCAGAGTTGGCGAGGGAAGCTCTTAAATTATTAGTTCCATTCGCTACTTCATGCTTGTGTGAACTGACATTTTCTTCAATGGTAGACAAACTAAAAAGAGAAATAGACTGCAATTAGAAAATGATTTGATTATCAACGTTTCAGAAATAGAAACACAATTTGATAAATTTTTGAAAAATAAACAAGCACATCCTTCTCACTAAAATTGGGTTTTTGTTGTGTAAGAACCTCGACTTTTTCTTTCAGCCGGCGACCCCCCGAGTAAGGCTTCTCGATCCCTCTAGGAGTCGCGACCCACAGATTGAAAAACACTGATCTATACTAATGATAGTATGGAATGATCCACACGTAATAATTTCGCCACACGCACATCAGAGTAAACTTTTTTAATGTCATTGTTGATTGTGGGTGAGGTTTTCCAGGTTTTCCTTACCTGTAAGTCAAATGGCACCATCAATCATCTTTAAGTCGCCCCGGAGCGCCACGGCAAATAATAATAATAGCCGTCCCTTTCCCCGCACAAGCTCAGCTTTTGGGGTTAAAATTCACTCGTAAGGGGGTAAATTAGGGAGAGTATTATTATTATATTATTATATATTTAATTTAGAGCCGTATGTAGTTATCACAAGCAAGACTAGATCTCTGTTTTTATCGGTTAAAATATTTTTTTGTGAATTACTCTTTATAGACTTAAACAAACAACAAATATTAATATCTATTTATTCTCTGAACAAAATATTTCGGCTTTCTTTTGTAATTTGGATGTATATATCCTACATGTTCTATAACGCTGTCTATCAATAAATTCGATTATCGTTTCCTTTTCCTTTTTCTTGTATTACTTCCAAATCGAAACAATTAAGACAGTTGAGTATCGAGGATATGTTAGCTTCGGAAAGCTATCCACTCCCGGCTGTCTTTCTTATTAGTAAAGGCCATTTTGGTCTCTTCGTTTAATGGCTATCATTACAGATATTGCTGTTATTTAGGTGAAGGCAGGGAGTATTTTCATCACTAGACTGCGAAACTGTTAGGGAGTGATAATTTAGTACATGTTACGGAGAGATTTGCTGACACCGCATCGTATAAAATAGGACAAATAGGTTGCAAAATTTTATTTACACACTCTCAATCAAAATAAAATAAATAAGTATTAATATGATAGTAGTAAAGTTATGTTTTTGAACACGAGTTGCCGAAATTATATATAATCGCAACTAGTGCTTAAAAGTACTTCACACACTGACACTTGTAGCTTACTTTTTATCTACGACCTCACTTAAAAAACAAATTTTTATAAACCTTTAATTAATACAATGTGAAGTTATAAAAAAAGTGTTATCTTGAAACTATACGAGATGACAATTTAAAAATGTACAATGGAAATATCTCATGTATTAGAAAACTAAAACCTAATAAAAACACTCGTTATCTTTTAAAATGCAGCAAATATTAGCAATAGTATAACGAGGGCAAGGTCAATATAGAACATACAGTAAGAACATTCAACTACACTATTAAATCTGACATAAAAAACATAGAAAAGAGTAATACCATCTTTTATCTCCCTATTTATACAGTGTATTTCATTTACGCAGTAAAACTGAAATAGTTTAGATGATCAAAAAATCTAGCCAATAATATTTGAAATTCAAGTATCTCTATAACTATTTATAATTTGATGGTGGTTTCCACCTTATCAAGACTAAGACCTACAAGGGTAAACTTGTAGCGTAAAATAAACTTGGAACGAAAGACCAAAAAGTCAATAGTAGTATTAAGACGTTGAATATTCTGGTTTGTGAAGCATTGGCATTACTTAGATCAAACCATGTGATAATTTTGACAAACTTTGATTTTTAAAACCATTCTATATCCGAGCAATTTATCCAATAATAATTGGGCTCTTTACCTCTCAAGCCAGTTCATGTAAAATATTTGTGCTTCTTATTTCGCCTATTTATCTAAAAATATTTGGTCTATTTTAAATATGTCACCACGCATTTCCTCACCACAGGATTTGAACATTAAATGATCTATAACTTGGCAAATATGCATTTCCTTACCACGAGATTTGGTTACCATGGCAACGATTGCCTTGGCAACAATTTTTACGTAACTAATTTCGGCTAAACGAAATTTGACGTCAAATTCCGTTTAGAAATCTTTAAACTTAAATTAAAGTTGACATATGACATTAGTCAAAAGGTTACCACGGTATGTACGTCACCACAGTAACCACAATACTGTAACCAAGTATGTTGTGGTAAGCTCATAAAGAAATGCCTTAAAAATATCCACCGAGTGACGTCACAGTTAACACAGCACACATTGAACTAATTCTGCTATCCTCTTGTTGATAGTACTCCTTTAACTTGGCTAGCTAGCGTCATTTCTCAAACAAATAAATTCACTTGATTCAAAAAAGTTTTAAACACTTTTGTATAACACGAAGTAATTATGTCTCAAAGTTTTCGAAAAGTACTTTGTTTATTTCTTTATTTAATCAAAATGGATAAATAAATCATCGGGTGTGACTAAAAATAAATTAATAGAACTGTTTTTTATAGAGTATGGAAATGTTTTGTATTTTTTTATATTTTTTTTTCCTCGAATTTAATTGGACACTTGGCAACACCGCGCTAATTTGTATTGACAGAGCATGACAGATATAATTCTAAATTCTAATTAATGTTTGGGATGTATGGAATGTTAGACGTTAGGAGTGATAGGAATGCGTAAAATAAGTGGCATAAGAAATGCATAGGCGGATTTTAAGAACATTGATATTAAAGTAGTTAGGATGAACCAAAAATTCTGAAAATCAATAGGGTTCTAAATTAGAAGCAATTATTCAAGAAAATCAAAACCGCAAGTCAATCAGAACTTTTGATCTAGAGTTATCGTGCCGGCATACATACACACAGACGACCAGACGAAAAATTTTTTTTGCATATTCGGATTCAAAATGATCGGAAACGTGAAAAAAGTATAAAAAAATGGGGTAAGAAAAGTTTTTCGTCTGCACGAATGCAATACTGAGGGCCCATAGGAAGGGCTTCAGTAATATAGAAGCAAAACCATAACTATGTAGGAATTTCGTTTTAAGGAAAGAATATTTTTTTGATTAATTGGTAGTACTTAAAATATGAAAATGCCTGCTTGGAACGCTGGTTGCATGAGGCATGTTGTTAGAACAAAAAACAAGTAGTGTTGTAACTTTGGCAGGCTGTATAAGCTGGCATCGCTGATATTATTCGTTTCCTGCTTGCTCTAATACTAATTCTCTGTAGACTTCACACGCACTTGTGCAAACCATATTGGAAAGCGTTTGATAGCCGATAATGTATGAGCGAACACGATATACAGAGGGAGACTGTCTCTAATTGGAATACCAGTTGGCAAATTATCTCAAATATTTTCTCACATCTATGTTTATAAATAAAGCCCATTATTATTTGCTGAAATAAAAAATAAACATTTTATACTTTTTTATGATAAAAAGTAAAAAATATTTATTAGTAAGCAGATAAAGGATAGCCGTAAACCCTTAAACAAGCTGCCATTCGGTCGAAATTAACGGTGACAAAACGGACAAACATTAATTAAATAACAGCCGAAACAGGGTGAGAGAGACGAAAAGAGATCAATGCAATGTTTGCATTTTATATTTGCCGTTCGATTTGTGCTTCTGCAAACATCCATTCAAACACCTGCCACAATTTTATGATTTTTAAAACGGAATCTAGAGTATCATTTGAATTCAATGTTGAAAGAATACGTGATGGTATCAAAAAAAGGATCAAGTGCAATTCCAACTGCAAAAAATTTAAATGTTAAAATGTTGATGTACTTTTGTAGATTTCCCCGAGCTATTTGAGTCTCCAGATGGTATGTATATACTAAACTGAAGGTCCTTTGTGCATGATGTAATAGGTACTGTCAAAATATTTTGCGAATTTAAATTCATTTACTTTTGACTGAAAACACAGTTCATGACGATTGCATTCGTCTTTTGTCTAAGCGTGATGACATCATCGATAAGTTTTTTAAATATTAAAGTAGATGTTTGAATTGTTTATCCAACCATATTATTTAGGCATTCCAACGACCTGTCCAAATGGCTACCAGTGGGGACTGACCACATACTTTGATTTTCTTTTACTATACGGAGAATGGTCGCACTGCGCAGCTTTCTGAGTGCCTTTTAAAAGGAGATAGAAAACTCCGCCATTTTGAACCCTTATTACGTGTTGCCTACATCTTGGCACAATATTTTTAATAGGTGCGTTTTAATCATCAGCTTCTGCTTCGGAATTGTCGGTTTTCTTGTTTTAATCTGACAGGTTAAAACGAATAAACCGACAATTCCGGAAGCAGAAGCGGATGATTAAAACGCACCTGATATTTTGCTTGCTGCTGTCAGTGTCAGTGAATATTATTTTTGGTGCCACAGTTTATTGCTAAAGAATCAGTTAGCTCACTGGGACCAGTTGAAAATTCCAAAATAACATCCACTCCAGGGATACAAATTCAGGATACGCAGAAGACTGCTGGTTTATTAAAGGCGGTTGTCATATATTGTATTATCCGAGTTGCGCAGTGTATAAACTGGAACATTGAGATCAAAAGTGTCGACGCAGAGTGAGCGATCTGATTCTTTAGCTATAAACTGTGTCATTGGAATCAAAATAGCCGCGCCCTATGTTGGGTGCATGGAGGTAGAAGGTAGGGAGACGCTATGAGCATCTTTTTCAAACATTCAAAACGGTATCACTTAGTCGTGGTGACAGTCATTCCAATATGGCCGTTCTGCCAGGGCCGGACTATTGGTAATGCAACTCAAACCCTAATTTGATTTTTTAATTAATTGTAAGTTATAAATTAATTGTCATAAAACGGATAATTATTAACAGTTTTAATAAAAGTATTAAGAAATTATTAAAATGCAAGTAAAAGGAGACTTTCTGTAACATAATTAAAAAAAAAAT